TCTATGTTTATGTTTATGTCTAATGTTTATATTTATGTTTGGGTCTATGTTTATGTTTATGTCTAATGTTTATATTTATGTTTGGGTCTATGTTTATGTTTATGTCTAATGTTTATATTTATGTTTGGCTCTCTGTTTATGTTTATGTCTAATGTTTATATTTATGTTTGGGTCTATGTTTATGTTTATGTCTAATGTTTATATTTATGTTTGGGTCTATGTTTATGTTTATGTCTAATGTTTATATTTATGTTTGGGTCTATGTTTATGTTTATGTCTAATGTTTATATTTATGTTTGGGTCTATGTTTATGTTTATGTCTAATGTTTATATTTATGTTTGGGTCTATGTTTATGTTTATGTCTAATGTTTATATTTATGTTTGGGTCTATGTTTATGTTTATGTCTAATGTTTATATTTATGTTTGGGTCTATGTTTATGTTTATGTCTAATGTTTATATTTATGTTTGGGTCTATGTTTATGTTTATGTCTAATGTTTATATTTATGTTTGGGTCTATGTTTATGTTTATGTCTAATGTTTATATTTATGTTTGGGTCTATGTTTATGTTTATGTCTAATGTTTATATTTATGTTTGGGTCTATGTTTATGTTTATGTCTAATGTTTATATTTATGTTTGGGTCTATGTTTATGTTTATGTCTAATGTTTATATTTATGTTTGGGTCTATGTTTATGTTTATGTCTAATGTTTATATTTATGTTTGGGTCTATGTTTATGTTTATGTCTAATGTTTATATTTATGTTTGGGTCTATGTTTATGTTTATGTCTAATGTTTATATTTATGTTTGGGTCTATGTTTATGTTTATGTCTAATGTTTATATCTATGTTTATGTTTATGTTTGGGTCCATGTTTATGTTTGGGTCTATGTTTATGTTTGTATCTATGTTTGTGTCTATGCTTATATCTTTATTTATGTTTATAATTCGCCCAACACACTTCAGGTCCACGATACTACACATATATAAAATTATATGTAACTAAGTTATATAATAATTCTATACATATGTAGAAAAGATATTAAACCGTCATTCACAACAATATCTTAGACAGAAATCATAAAAAATGGCAAACGTGTAACTCATAAAAATTCTACAATCTTTTGAGCCAAATTTCTTTAGCGAAACAGCATACGTTTCCTTAATTTTATTCCACCAATGGAATAGTAAAGTAGCAGAGAATAGCAGCTTTTGATAGATCCATCGAAAAGCAGAAGTATAAGAGAGAAATGATGAACGGTAGAGAAAAACACCATGATGAAATAAGTCTTTTTTTTTTCTTTTCTTTTTAAGTTCATTAAGTTATCGTGAATATGTGGGAGCTGTTGAAGAAACTAGTTCCCAACGGAAAGCAGAAGAAATTGTTAATTGGAATCCTCGGAAGAAACGTGAAAATAGAAGAGGTGTTTCTTACTTTACGATAGTTCCAGATAATCTCACCGTCTATATGGCGATTCGATAGAACTCGTTTCTTCAATGAAATGAGTGCCAGCGATTTATGTACGCTCTTCGTTCCTCTGCATTTACATAAAGAAACGAGTTGTTCAGAGATACATAATTTGTTTCCAGATTACGTTGTATCGAAAATTACTATCGCGAATGATAATACTTGATTATACATGCTTCGAGAAAGTAAGAAATCTTTCGACAGACAACGTCTCGGCATTATCCTTGGATAGATAATAATTCTGATAATTATTAGAGAATGAGACTATCAAGAAATAAGTATGTTACTTTGGTCTATCAACTACCGCAATTGTATTTATCTATTCAGAAGAGTAAACTAAATTTTAGTTTTTTATTTTTGCTAAATGAAAATTTCAACTGTACTTGCGCTTAAATATAAAAAGATTTCTTAGTCAAAAAAAAAAAAAAAAAAAGAAAAATAGTGCAACAGTGATACGAGAATAAAACCGTAACAAAAGAAGACAGTTTACAAAGCAGACAGTGTTACAATATTAAATGTATTTGTATAGGTATTTGATATAGGCAACGATAATCTTATCTTCCAAATGCTTATTTCGCTTCAGATTACAACGACACTGTGTTTCATTTGCAAAGTTCAGTTTTCGTTATTGCACGCCATACTACGCGGAATAAATACGCTTACGTAAATACAACTGGAATATTCCTCGAACGAATTGCCAAATACGTAAACGTTACCTTTATCATGTGCATTCGTAATTCTATTTGTGCACTGCGTTCTTCCTAGAATTCCAACACGAATACTTCGTCTAAGCTTCATGAAACAAAAGCGAAAAATCAATATACCAAGAGCGAAAGAGTAAAAACAATATATATTGGCTTGGCAACTAAGTGGTTGCGGCTTTGGCGGCCATTAGGTGGTAATGGCGAAAGCCGCAATAACTTAGTTGCCACGCCAATATATTCGTTAGAGAAACAACGAGAATAACCTCGTTTTTAACCTCGTCACCAGTTATCCGATTAATTTCCCTTTATCATAAATGGAATCTTATAATTCCTCGAAAGAAATGGTCCCCTTCGATGTTTCATAAAAATTAGTCTAATCGTTGTGCTATCGAAAAAGAAATTCGTTTGAAGAACCTTCCACACATGTTCTGCGGTAAAATGACTTTGATTTAAATTATTCCCTTAAGGTGGCTACCTTGTACACGAACCTGTGTCGTTTCCCTGACATACGCTATCTTTCTCATCTAAATGAATTACTCTGTCCAAGCAGCTACCTTCGTTAATATATTTACCAGTAGCGTCCCAACGGTATTTCTCAGTCGTTGCATTCGTTCCATCGGAGAGTTAGATGAAAGCGGAGATTACGAGAAGGCTAGACAAGGAGACAGCGAGCTGAAACGTGGAACGAGTGACAGAAAGTGTTCGAAGTTCGACCAGCTACTACCAGGGGGTGTGTTTTAGGCTTCTTAGAAAACCCGTAGGAAGGGCCTGTCGTCGAAACGCCGCTCTACAGTTCTATGTTTCGAAAGGTGATAGGGCCTGGTTCACGTGCCGCGCACATTCTGTCTAACGTTCGAGATGGAAAGATCTCGGGGAGCGATCTCGGTGTCGCAAGACCACTCCGGAGATCGTCTGAGGAGGGATTTCTTTTTTTTTTTTTTCTTTCCCTCTTTAAGGGAACCCAGAGGTTCGTGTCGTTGGAAAACAAGGGGGATGCGTATTCTTTCGACAGGAAGTCGATCCTTCGTCGATCTACACTTCACAACCTTTCTTATGTCTTCCTTTCGTCATCTGCCGCTAAGGTCTCACCTTGGAAAACACGTCTGCAGACCACCCGCGTGTGTGAAAGTTTACAGCTAGCTGGCGGAGAATTTAGAGAGCAGCCGTTCGTGGAAAGGGTAGGCTCCTATGGTACGTGCAACGAAACATCGTGTGGCCATGGACCATTGTTCTAGATAAACTCTTCCGGATAAAATAAACTCTTTGCTCGGACGATAACATCGGTCGCTACATCGCTCCGCTCCCTTCCACGCGTCTCATATCTTTATGCGGAAACGAACAACGCGTTCGCACTGGCTACTCTTTAGATAAGCGGACGGCCAAGTAGCCCTAGAGAAGCGAATCGAAACGATAGACGCGACAACACGCGATAATATACGTTCTAGTGACATTGTCCTACTTTAGTAACTTTCTATGTTGGCAACAATCTTAATACGTTTCCCAGGCGACCTGGTCGATTTACGTGCGAAACGTTTAACGAGAGTTCGTAAGTTTGTATCAATGCTAAAGTATAATTGTATAAATGTAAAGACAATAAACTATAATGAAATCTTTTCTTCTCTATCTGTAAGTCGAAGTATCTTTACGTTCATGCAGATAAACAATGACAAATATTGCACTTTATACTCGAAGGTTAGGAAACGACAAACGATACCATATAATTGTCCTATTTAAATTCCTCAAATTCCTTCGCATGTATGCAAAAGTAAAATCCAAAAAAATTCTTTCATTTCTTTGTCCAATTACTCTTAACGCGATTACGCTTCTTTTCATTCTCGAATTAAAGATCGTCATTAGGATAGAACACGAAGAATCGATTAGCGATATAATCCGAGAGGAACTCTCGATGTATAGAACACGCGAGCTGCGTATCGTTAATCACAGGTATCGTGGAACAGCCGATAGAAATCTCGCTGTTATCGCGTCTTAGAGGTGGTCGAAACGAGTGGCGTATTATCTGCGTCTAGTTAGCGTAAGCAGCCTCCGCGGAGACACCGATGCCCGCATAACCCGCAGAGAACGTGTATCTCATCGATCAGATGGCTCACGATAGGAAAAGCACTCGCTACTCGAACGTCGACCTAAGAACCGTCGGGCCTGTGCGCGAGACTTACTACTCTCTCCGCTTATTCTCTTCTTTTTACGCCGGTCCGCAGATTATACGATAACCTACACGCATCTATCTTTTCTCTAAAGAGAAATCTATCGTTTCTCTCGAGGTTACTGGCAATGATTACTGATAATATCGTTATATCATTGGCAATGAGAGATGTCCTGATAACGATTAGTATTTGATTAATAGCATGGTACGTAGTATATATGGTTTCTCTGCGGTACATGGATTACTCTGAAACGCAAGAATTTTTTTCATAGCGTATTGTCGGCTATAAGAAACAGTTTTCCACTACAAAAACAACGGAAGGTCGCTATAGCCGGCGAGATTTTACGTTTCTATTTTAACGGCATGGAAGTTATAGGAAGGGAATACATAATAGAGCGCTTGAGAAGCATTTCAGGGAGTAAAAAAACAAACGAAAAAACGTAGGTAGAACGGACGAAAATTACTTTGAGCAGAGAACTACCTCGAGTAGAGAAATATCTTGTTTTTCCAATCGCTAATAATGTCCTATAACGTTACTGTATTTTTCTTCTAATTTTTATTATACGTGACAGTTGCTTCTATCTCGCGATATCGCCTTGAATATGAAAATTATCATCACGCAATAATAACTAGAGAAAAGTTGTTGGCAAAAAGATAACTTACCTTCTCGAGCTGATCTAACGCTATCGCCGCATCGGTCCAGCTTGGCCTGATATAAAGATCCGACTCGTGTCGTTGTTTCGCGTTCTCCACGGTCTTGGCATTCTTCTCGCTGTGATTTTTCGTAGCACATCCATTCTGCGACGATTGCGAACCTTGAAGGCACTGAGAACCAGAAGGGCGTCCCGCTAGGATCCCTGTAGGGCCGGACGCAGAAACCATGATCCGTCATACATTCGCCCCGGCACAATCCACAGTATGATTATTTTTAATCTTAATCCCCTCCAATGTGACGTTTTTCTTTCCGGCAGATTTTTCGTCGGCTCTCCTCCTCTCTCGACTTACACGTATATTGTAACGTTACCGAACGCGACACGGGACGTTTTATGAAACACGAACAAGGCACGAACACGAAAGAGAAATGGAGAAAGGAAGAAAAGGGAACGATTCCACTCTGCACACTCGTTAGAAACCGCGGTTGCACGTAATTCTCGCACGAACCTTTCCAGAAACACTTGTCACAGCACACGTTCAGTCGGTGTTTCTTGTTTACCGCGCAATTCGTCGACACCGTACACATGCGACGGGCACGATAATCGAAATTCGCGCACGAGGTACACACAATTTCTTCTGCGCATGCGCAGATGTATCATGCCCATCGATGGTATACGCACAAAACGGACCGAGTATCGGTTTTTAGGTTAGCTTCGTACCACCGTAGAAGAGTAAATACGTGACTGCTCTCTCTTCACCAATTCGTCTCGTCGTTCTGTCTCTTTCTTTATCCCTGTGTTTCGCTTTTTCTACTTGCATGCGGGATCCTCGTACTCCCTCTCTCTTCTGTATCTCCCTCTCGCGGGATTCACAGTACCGCCGACAAGCACGAGGGCGCACACGCGAGTTTGCTTGTTTTGAAATATCACGCGACAACCGGGGCAAGAATGTTACCCGATCGTACTACAACGTTTTCGCGGGAAACAGTCACGCTCTAGCACCACACGTGCCTCTCACTGTGTCATAGAAGCAAAATAAACGCGTATGCCTCGACGTTTAACGATCAATTCGATTCACCGTGTCTTTTCTATCGGCACAATACTGGCATGGCACGCAGTCACGCGCACTTCGGTGTCACTGTCACAATCGTTGTCACTTGACACAGTTAGATCTCGTTCGAATATGCACACTACGCTCGAGGAAATTCGCCACGGCTACCGAATTCGTATAAACGCGGCAGTGACGAGCATCCGGTTTACGCAAGGAGGCGTAGGCGACGTGAGAGTACGAGAGTGTTCCACAGTTCAGCAACGGCAGCTGGAAACTCTCGTTAAAGTCTAGCTATCTCTCTGTCACGCGTTCTAAAACGACGACGTCGACGTCGTCGTGGTCGGACACCGGCGTACACGACCGCCACTTAGAGCAGTCTAAGTCCGTACTAAGCGAAATGCGGTGCCACATTTCTTTCGTGGCCTGCCTTCAGCGCCGGCCATAGTTGACGGCCCCCCTCCAACAGCGCCACTCGCCGAGATCGGAGCTGCACAAACATTCAGGACCGTAATTCGACGAGCACGCTTCAATGAATTTTGGGTCTCGTCCACCAAATTTATGATTCTGCATTTTTTTGTAATAACGATTTCAAAAGGTACAGTGCCGGATAATACAAATTACGAAGACAATTTCCATCCGTAATCGACGTGACAATAGCGATATAACGTTTTATATACACGCTTACCTATATTATTATTTATAAACCTCGAAACAACTTCTAACTAATCTAAATTAATCGCACAAGTTGCTCGTATTTCTGTTAAGTATAACATTTGAAAATTATCTCCTCGCCGTATATCCTGACACAAAATCCTATACCAATTTTGTTTTCTAATCAAAGTACGTATCAATACCTTTTACATCATATACGTTTCGTTTACACTATCATGAATGAATAATGCGAAAAACTTTAAACAAATTACGATTCATCGTGAGAGACTTATCGTATATCCCAATTTTCGCGGCAGAGCGATACGTCACTGCAGGTAACGATGACGTCGGAGCCGAAATGAGCCGAGTTTGGCCGAAGTGATCGGAACTCGTTCGCGATTGGCTGAATCGGCGTGGCGTTCTACGTTGCTAGGATACGGCGATGTGCCATCAGAAGGGGTGCAGGGGGCTCGACGCAGGACCACACACGCGGTACCATTTCCCCTCGAGCAAAAACATTACCCACACATGGCAGTGACTACGTGACACGCACGAGACACATAACGCCGCTTACAGATCGCCGCAGCATCTCCTTCTTTCTTCTCCGACTCCTCTCTCGATTACTCTTTCCTTGTCATTGCCTCCACACGGTCTTGAGGACTTTTGTATACGCTTGTCGCATTCTGTGTTAGTAGAGAAGGCCCGAGCGATTCATGAAGCGCAGTGTACGCGGCCGACGTGCGGTGGAGAGTTGAAGACGAGCGGAAGAGGGCCACCGATGTACTCGAACGTAAACACGACTCCCTTACGGGCCTCTGGAGATCGGAATCGTTGCTGCTCTCGGCAATATTAATCGGGACCGGAAATACAGCAGTTTACTGCTTCACCGGCCACCGTCTCTTCACCACCGCCACTGAAGCGAATCTGCATAATTGATTATACGCGTCTCCCCTGCCACTGGTTATGATTTGATTGGCGGCCGCAACTATAGGGTTCGACTGCGTCCTCCCTTATTATTATTGTTATCTGCTGCATGTGTAATCGAATCAAACGTTTTTTGCGAACGATACGTACGATTTTAATAATTTCGTCCATTACATTTTGTCGCGTATTGATTTATAAATTATGACCAACTTCTTCGAACTTTTTTTTTATATCTTCAATACTTCTGTACTTGTGCATATGTATACTGTCTATGTACTATAATCAAACGCTTGTGTGCCAAACTCTCCGATACATTTTCAAGGACGATAAGTCACGTAGAAAACTAACAATAAGGCGAATATGCCAGGTAAAGAAGAGAAGAGGGCAACTGTTTTGAATGCGTTCATTAAGCCACGGGGAAGAACGTTACACCGGACGATTAACTTATTAACCTGTCTTCATAATATCTGCATAACGATGCGACTTCATTAGGCGTCGTACACCACTCCCGTGCTTGGCTTTGCGTGTGTGCGTGCACGCCTGTTGCTTGCACGCGCGTGTTGCACGCCTCAACGTTCATTGGACAGTCTCACACGCGCTCGACATTCCTACACACGTGTACGGGGCTCGTGTGTAGTGAGGAGCCAGTGTGAAAAGAAGGACAGAAAAGGAGAGCGGCGAGAGCGAAAGAGAGGCAGCAAACGGAGAAAATTAAATAAGAGGGAGAAGGAGAGAGCGAAACAAACTGGCAGATCGAAAAAGGTAATGTATAAATACGAGACCACCCACCGCGATGCCGAGCCCGACACCCTGTTCCACCAAATACGAGACAATTTTCGATTCTGATACGGACGGTCGTTGCTTTTTTATTTTCTTCTCCGATTCCAGGGACCTTGTGGCAGTTTTCGTTGACTGTCTCGAAGCTTCGAACAGGAGATTGATACAACAACGCCATAAGGACTTCCCATTAATGTCAACGGCGAGAGAGTTGGCGCTTATCGATTAGGAAATATTAATTTCGGATAATATTGAAACGAAAAATCAAATGGCAAGTATCGGTTCGTGTTAGCCCGAAAGCGGTGCAAAGGAGCACCGACGTTCGTTGTTTGCGTAACAGTAACATAATATCCGCGCGTGATACAAGCGACGCAGCGCCACGTAGAAATAAAACGGGTGGTCGACCTGTTCTTCTCGCGTTGCGAAATTACCGCTGTGTTTATCAGGCTTTTGTACGGAAACCTTCACAAGCTTTTAAACGATCCACCATTAACTTCTTTCCGAGCATCGATAATCGTAAATTAATATATCGTAGGACATTAATTAAATCCTGCCTCTAGTTGCTTTTCTTTCGTTTTAATTTATAGACGTTTAACCAAAGATCGGTTATTGCTTGGTTGTTTCTCACTGTTTCGAAAGTTCCACACGACGAACCTCCGATACATTCATAAATCTTCAATGAAAGAGAAATTAGTTGATCGACGAGGGAATAAATTTCGTGAGTACGAAGTCTCGGATACGAATTAAGGGCACGAAGCAGAACGAAAAAGGAGTGGAAATGTCATTGCATATTATGGTGGCGGTTTCGACGAATACATACATCCTACTGCAGTTGCCGATCTGGCGATAAGGCACAGCGTGCGGAGGGACCGTTAATAATTTTTACGACACTCTTAACTCGCCACCCAGTATTAAGCGGTCCTCCGTAGAAGACGAGCTTTGATCTTTGCCGACGCTGCATCGACTTAATGAGTGCGAGAGCGAGATAGTCGCGCAACCAGGATGAAACAGAGCGCACGACTGGCGCACCGCAGTCCCCTGTAGATCTATTTTCCGCAATGTGCACCGCTGCAGTTCGGGTTGCATCTCTACAGGCTTCCTACTGTGTGCTTTCATCTACGATGAAACGTTACTGTTCTGGAACAGTAGCGTAAAAAGTAAGAATTTTTCTCGGTCGAAATTGACTTTAATTAGATGTGTTGGATTGCCATGATGGAATTTTATGAATGCCAGAAGACTGTATTTTATAGCTGTTCTTATGGCTCTTTACTGTAATAATGACAAGTATTTTTCTCTTGCTGTTTAATATCATCGTTAATTATTTTAAAGGACTTTTACTGTTCTTGTCTGTCTTTTAAATATGCAGTGGCCTGCAAAAATCTCTGGGCAGATAGATTTTTCGTTTCGCGTTTGCATACGTCGAATATTGATATTCCATGATCGGCGTCCAGTTTTTACACGAACAATCATCGTTTCTCGGTTCATAAGTATCTATTAAAACATGTTGAAGATTGACGCCATAACAACTAATTAGCAGAGTAGCGTATAATCGCTATGCGGATTATCTTCATGACTGAAATACTCGTTTCATAATTCCATGGATATTCCGGATATTTCTCCATTAAAAGAGTCCTTCCATCGCCACTTTATTTTCTCCTCACCTCTTATCTATCTTACGTGCTCTTCATTAGCGAGCTTAAAAATCGCGACAACGTAAAAACCAAGCACGCACGCACATATTTAATTAAGAAAAAGATGAAGACCAACGTAGGTAAGAAGAAAGCCGGCAAAACGACGCACGATCCGGTCTTTCGCCTGTGCCTCCTAACATGAAGAACGCCACTAAAAACCCATCGATTTAAAAGCAGAAAACGTCGAAACGTCGACAAGGACAAAAGGAGGCGCCGATGTCATACACGAGGGAAATAAAGAAGGGGGACACATCGGGCAACAATAAGCGACAATAAGACGAAAAAATACGTGCGCCAGCGACGCACGGCGGGGAAAAAGAAAAAGAAATGAACGAAGAGTAACATGGAGAAGGATAGATGCCGATGAAGTAAGGAGCGACGTAACCAGACGGAAAAAGAGAGAAGAGAAGGCCGAACCAGCCGGCGAAACATGGAAGAAGGAGAAACTCTCGGGATGAGAGAATGGAGAATGGGCGTGGGGGAAGAAGAGAAGTCGACTACTTCCCTTACGCAAGACGACTCGGTGCGCCACGTTCGTTCACTGCGTTGGCCGCGCTCAACGGTGCGTGCACATGAGAGACACGAGAGATGCTATCGGCCACCAAGACGGCTCTCGACTTCTCCAGACCACCCACCGGCAAAATAATAAACACGGAATGCGGCATACACGTCCGTCCATCCGTCCGTCCATTCGTTTGTTTCTATTTCGCAGATACCATCGAAAATAAGGTCTCCCGTCGATACCGCAGCTGGCTATCGCCGATACTATGCGCCTTCTGCCGTGTTACTGTTGGGTTGCAATAACTTGCTGAATTTGAGGTCGACTACTACCGTGCTCGCGACAGGAGATCGCTCGACGCGTGATCTCTTTACCGGTAATGAGTAAAGCAGTAACGAGCTACGAATATTATTCGCTGGAAAATGCAGACGCGACTGTGCAACATCTTAATCCGACGTGATCGATGACTGTGAGATAGACATTGTGGTTAGTTAGCTTGGTCGCAGCTTTGGGGATTCGGTAGAGTTTTCAAGAAGAAGTTAGGAAGTTATCGAGACACGGGCAGCACGTTCGACTGTGTTGACGTTATTAATGTCTTTATTGTAACTGATATATATTTGATATAGAAGAAATCGGAAATCGTGGTACGAGCGTGGTGAATGTAAATGAAAGGATATGTGGAGAAAGAAAGAATAACGTGTTTTTGTTTTCGTTTTAACTTGTGCATTAACTGCACGTTTCCAATTATGAACTTGTGTTTCTGCTCGTGTCTTAAACAAGGCATTATTAAACGTTATTAAATATGGACAATTTGCTTCTTCGTTAATGAAGCGATTCTTAAGAAAGGTACTGGCCTTATTATTTGCCTTATTTATGAAACCATTCAAATTAAACAGAGAACAAAGTAAAGTAATAATCAATGTCGTGCAAGAATTATAGCAAATCACGATACTGTTCATATATAATAATACAGACACGAACAGAAACAAAATAGAAAGAAGTGATTAAGAAAGTTAGTAGTTAATACACGAGTTTTTGATGGATTTTCAAACTCAGTTCTCTCAGAAACGGAGTCCTAAACGAAAAAATCTTATTCTTTTTCTTCGATTAATTTTTGTCGAGAAACCGACCGCTTGCATCATGATTTTGCAGACACCCTGTATAATGGGTATTTTTCTCTGCCATTTTAAGTACGTCAACCTATCAAACGGAAACTGAATATACGATCATTTAATATATCATTCGTTAACATGAATATCATTTCATTCGCTTTTAGCGCGTTTGCATAAAATACGCGGTATGCATGTTAATCGAATCAACCAATAATTGACGAACGTAGCTGAGGTATTCTTACATTTCAAATATATATTCATTTTCTTCTCTTCTACCGGCCAAACGAGGCTTTAATCTCCTCTTTTTTACCGCCGCCAATTTGCAGTTATCGCATTAAGATATTCATTTACCGCCGGTAGCTTACTTGCGACGTAATTCGTGTAGATATATATATATATTTATATCGCGAATAGGGAATATAATTCGTAACGGTACATCGTCTTGAGAAAGTATCGATAACTGTCTGGAATAAAATTGTCCAGGACTTTATGGGAGCGTAAAAGTAACTCATATCATTAGTATCACCAGTTTTCGTGTAATCGAATTGCACATTCTCTTCTCCTTCTCGCCTTTTCAACTTTTTATTACGGCCGTTTCTACACAAACGCGAACGATTAAAGTTGTACGATTACCAACGCTCTACAGGTTGCAAATTATCCATAAAAAGAAACAAGATAGATACATATGGTTAATGTAACTAGACAAATTAAATTTAATAGGATTAAAAATGATTTTGTTGATTTCGATCGTACGTCGAGTCTAGGTACAAATTTCCAACTACTTATCGACCGATTTTTCTATATCATCGTCAGATAACTGTTTCGAAGTTAGATAATCAAAATGATATGTTACGCTGTATCGTCAATTTCATTTTCTCTGTTACTAAAACGTGTACGAAGACGAAAGCAGAAATATACGTTAATTTCCTGTTGAACGAAGGCATCTCTAAATCGTTTTGATACGATTAATGAATACTATTAATGAATTTCCGTCTGAGGCAATCACTTACCGAATTATAATTATTCAAGAATAATTCAAAGAGAATAACTAGATATACGTGGTATATCAATTTCTGCAGTATCTTCTATAGTATTTGTCCAACGAAATATTGTAAAAGTAGATACTATAGATAAAGGAACGCGTTCGAAGATTAATTAGAAACACATTATATGGTAACTAGTAGTACACTAATTTCTACAATATCTTATATAGTATTTGTCCAACGAAATATTGTAAAACTACATGCTGTACATAAAGGAACACTTCGATAATTCAAAGAACATTATAACTAGCCATATTTCAATTTCTAGAATATCTTTCGCATATAAAGATGTTTGTCCAATGAAACATTGTGAAACTATAAACATGTGTACTAATACTGCTAATACATGTGTACTAATACTACCGTAAAACATACTATAGGTACAACAATACAATATAAGAAATATACTTCAAACATCATAACTATATAGACTAACGTATATCAATTTCTAGAATATCTTTAACAAATTTCCTCCGACGAAACATCGTAAAACTAGGTGCCATGAACAAAGCAACACATTCGAACAACCATCACAAAAACCTTCTAACTAGTCTTATTTCAATTCCTACAATATCCTCTACTCCTCAAAGGAACTTTGTAGGATTGCGGTTTTCCGTCTGCCGGTATTGTCCAACATCATCGTTAAGCCGAATGCAGAGATGACTAATGCCAAGGATCGGAGGCGCGGCTCTTCCAACAGAGGATCGTCCTTTACCATTGTAACAAGGCGAATCGTTACTCTTCATCACGGGTGTAGACCGGCTGGCTGAGACCAAGAGAGACGGACGAACAAGATCGTAACCTGTGGCTATCTGCATCTACGAACAGCTACCGGTGCTTCTCGTCGATGGATTATCTACGACGATACGCCCGCCGTTGTTGTCTGGCCGTGTGGCGCCGAAACGCCATGGGGACGTGGACTTCCGGTGTTGGCCAGCCGACAATTCTTCTACAAATTCCGTTCCGGACGAACAATTGTCATTATCTTGGTTGACTCGGCGCATTCTTCCTGCCTCTTCCTCGTTTCCCCTCTCGATACGCGCCTGTGTTAGAGATACGATCGACGTGGCGGGTTCGGTCGGTACCGTGATCGGTCAACGATTGGTAATTATCGGCTGATTACACGGAGCCAGAGTCACGCGTTAATTAAATGGTTACGCTGGCGGTGAGAATTGGAGCTGAACGTATCTCACAGGTTCATGCAGCAGTTAACTGTTGTGTTTTTTCTCTACGGCCTTGTTCGTGCGAGCTTCTCGGTGGCTTCCAATGTCGAATTTTATCGACGGAGATGCGTCAGCTAATTTACACGGAAAGTATTCGAACGATTATTCTGTAAAATTTGTAACACATACGTATGTAATGTTATATGGAACTCGTTGAAACTTCGTTGGTATTTTTATTAACATTAATATTTTATTATCATATAATCTATCAGCAGCATAGCGGTAAAACTAGCTAATGGGGTTTTGTAAATTTTTTGTATAACACACATGACACAGTTGCCAACCCAATAACTAGAAAATAATAACTAGAGCTAATGAATCGTAGTTTATCTTCGGTCGAAACATTTATTAATTTTCTTTAATGTTAATATAATGGTCACATTAACAACTGAGGAGATGTTAGCAGGTTTAGTTCTACAACCTTCATCCGTTACACTTTGAAAACTAATTTAATGGTTGAGTAACTTTCCTCCATGGTATATTATTATTGTGTATTATATAAATTAAACAAGATAAGACAGTATAGTAATTAGAATACCTTTTTACGTCTTTATAGCGTACACAGTGTCAGTGGTAAATCATTTTACAAGTACATAGTAAGATTAAATATCCTGCACTTTCGCAATATATATTTAACCACTTTGAAATAATTAAAATGTAAGAGAAAGCAATAAATAGCAATAGTAATTTATGTTTCTATATATAATACGTACGTTGTACCAAGAAAAACGAAGTATTTAATTATCTTCCGCGTCGTGAAAGGCTTTTACGGAAGAATTATTTACAAAAAAAAAAAGAGTTAGATAGTTCCGTAATGACGATGACACGCAGAATATAAAACGAAGTGATGTAGCGTGTTCTTTGTTTCTTTTTACGACTGAAAATTATTCTATGAAAATTGGACGTTATTACTATACACAATTTCCGCTTCCGCAATCGCTATCACACCGCGGTTTTACGCACACGATATAACATTTACTTCCTTAATACGCCACTGCACTAATTTCACTGCCCTCGTGTAAATAAACATAATCTTATACCACGTACAGTAATTTCAAAACGAAACGTCGCAACTTTTTCGAAACCGAAAGCATCATATTTATTTTGGAAAAAGGCATAAATAACTATGAGTCGAAAATGAAGCAAATAATAATTTGCACATTATCGTCCACACACTACTATAATGAAATACAAAGGATGAAACGCTGCGCGTATTAACCTTGAACATGTTCAGCAAATTATTTACAAGACGTGTACAACATACAAAACTGAAACAAAAACACCGATGAACTGATTCAGATTTTCCGAATCAAAGATACTTATTTCATGTAAGTTAGTATTGCAGTGTCGTGGACGAAAGGCCTAAGAGATATCGGGCGAACTATAAACAATGTCGTGAGAAAGCCGAAGTGCCGACAGGCCCAACAATGTATCGTCGGTCCTTCAATCGAACAGTTTCGCGGAAAAGGCCTGCGTGACCCTGGCCATGAGCGGTTGCGGAACACGTGCGCGGTGGGGCTTAGACAAAAGACAAAGCATGCTAAGGGACAAAGACAAATTAACAGTCAGTGTTAGTTGAGAAGTCAGAGAGTGTTAGTTGAGAAGTCATAGAGTGTAAATCGAGAAGTCGAGGAGTGCGAATTACGTTGTCCAGAGTGTGTTGCTAGCGTTGTCGAGAGTGTGTGGTCCGCGTGAGAGAGGGCGTTGTATCCGTGGTGACGAGAGTTGCAAATTAACTATCTAGTTGTCTTAATTATAATACGTTATTGTGATTAGTTCGCGTTAAGCAACCATCGTTAACCTAACCTCAACATCCGTTTAATCCATTTATTGTAAATAAACTAATTGTAGTAAAGATCGTACAGTATGAACCGAGAGAAAACCAATGTGCGAACCGATTTGCGTGCTATTAACGTCGCCTAGACACTGCTGTAGTGGAGTGCAAAGGGTTAAACGCTGCGGATATTAACCTTGCACTTCGTCAGCCAGTTATTCGACAGACGCGTAATCGACGTCGACGAACTGATTGATATTTTTGAAATCGCCAGTACTTATTTAATAGAAATGTCTACGAATCGAAAGAAAAGCAATTTGCGCTCTATTAATCTCGCCAAGACGTTGCTCTAGTCAAGTACAACGGGTTAAACGTTGCGGATATTAACCTTGAACTTTATCGGTGAATTACTCGTCGAGCAGATACGGCATACTGCGGACTGAACTGCGGGATTGATGAATTGATCGAGTTTTTAAAAAGTAGAAGCATTTGCTTCGTGTGAATGTCTATGAATTGAAACCAATTTGAACGTTATCAATATCGCTGAGACGCTGTCTGCAATGGAGCGCAAAGGTCTAAACGCTGCGGATATTAACCTTACACTTCGTCAGCAAATTATCAGACACTGTACGGTATACGAGATCGAATCGAAATGCCGATCAATCGATTGAGTTTTTTTTTTTTTTTTAATGACAGTACTTATTTTACGTGAACGTCCACGAATTGAAACCAGTTTGCAGGTTATCAATATCGCCATGGCGCTGCTATAGCGGAGCTTAAAGGTTTACACGCTGCGGATATTAACCTTCAACTTCACCAAACATATACGGCACATCGAACCTTGAACTTCATCAGTAAATTACTCAACGACGGAACACGGCATACTGAACCTTGAACTTCATCAGCAGAATACTCAGGAAACAGATACGGCGTACTGGTGGCTAAAATGGCGAATTGATGAATTGATCGAGGTTTTTTCACTCGAAGCTATTTATTTTTTAAACAGAAATTATTATGTTCGAAAAATATATTTAGGTTTCTAAATTGGAACAAAATTGAACAATAATTTGCACACTATCAGTGTCTGCACACTAAGGCACTGATAGGTGGAGAGTAAAGGGTTGAATGCTAGGGATATTAACCTTGAATTTCAGCGGCAAATTGCTCTACAAACACACATAGCATACTGAACCTTGAACTTCGTGAGAAAATGAGTGGTCAAGCAGGTACGGCGTAGTGGAGATTGATGAATTGATTCAGTTTTTTAAAATCAAAGGTATTTATTTCGGGACTTCGTCATTTGTACTTTATAATTTGTCCATCTGGATATTTGGTAAATTTTTCTAACCTAATTGTTAAGTAACATTGTGGATGGCTACCCCCAGTGGGATACTATCTTCCAATTCGTCTATTTTAAGCACTCAAACTTTTCTCTTTTATTATTATTATTATTATTATTATTATTATTATTTAATTTGTACTTTACAATTTGTCCAGCTGGACATTTGGTAAATTTTTCTAACCTAATTGCTAAGTAACATTGTGGATGGCTACCCTCAGCTGGATACTATCTTCCAGTTTGTCTATTTTAAGCACTCAAAGTTTTCTCTTTTATTATTATTATTATTATTATTTTTGTACTTTACAATTTGTCCAGCTGGACATTTGGTAAATTTTTCTAACCTAATTGCTAAATAACATTGTGGATGGCTACTCCCAGCGGGATGCTATCTTCGAGTAGTTAAAGTGAACGCTTGAACTTGGTCAGAGAGTTACTCGACAAACGGGAACAACGTGTTGAGCCTCCAACTTCATCGGCAAATTACTCTCGGCAAACGTGTACGGTATACGAGACTGAAACGGATGGCTGACGAATTGATTAAGTTTTTCTACAATCGAAGGTATTTATTCTGCGACTTCATCGGCAAATTACTCGACAAACAGATACGGCGTACGGGACTGAAACGAGCGACCGATGCCACGAATAAGGAGAAAGAAAGAGGCACAGGTAGAAAAAGAGGACGTGGACAACTAGAACACGACTGAGAGAAGGGCACAATGTTAAGGTGAATAGGAGCGAGAGAACAAGGGGGAAGGATATCCGACTTACTAATTGCGACGACGTCGGTGGTCCGTAGACGCACCGCGGGCCATGACGAAAAGCGATATGGCCAGAGCAGAGACCGACCAAGGCCACGCCGTGATACATCTCCGTGGTTAACCCGAATCGAAATCATAAATCCAGCCAGGACCGGACGATTCGCAGCGTTTCCCTCAAGGTAGTCTGCGTATGAAGTCGCGCTTGTTTGCCGTGGCCCAAGTTAACACTTTAACTGCCACGTTGGTCATATATGACCCGCCAGGGTTTCTCCTATGACGCCACGGTTGTCATTGGTAACCAGAGCGTTTGAACTTCTTCCAACTGTAAAAATTGCATGAAAATTGACAGTTAGGGAATTTTGAATATAACCGATAAATAGAAGATACTTTGAAATAAAAAGTACCCCATTGAACAATTAGACATTTCTATTAGAACATCAATGAGAAGAAAATGAGAACAAATCTTGCATCTAACGGTGCAATGTGTTAAAACACTTTAAACATAAATGTGGCTCATCAATACAATCTGGACAATAGGTGATCACCTGATATTAGTTGTCGTTCTTATCACTTGTTAACGTTTATCCTATAACTTAACTTAACTTAACTTGTATCCTATAATGTGTTATTGTGTTACTTATCAGGCTTGTATCCATTACCATCTAATGACAAAATCCGTAATCACTTAGTTGCCAACCCAATAGATATAGAAAAAGAAAGAAGAAAATTAGGTGGTTAATTCTGTTATTAATTGTTAGGGTTGACTGATAGAAGAACAAGTGGATGAATTTTCAATAGAAAAATATACTGAAATAAATAAAGGTATAAGTATAAGTAGAATGTATCAGTTTATGCTGATGCAAATCCTTACTCTCTTAGTGTTACAATACAATAGAAAAATAGGGAGCACGTTCATGTATTTATAGTAAAAGAACATGATCAAAAAAGTTAACCTTATAGCTCTAACTAAAGGTTACAAGGAACATAGATAGAAATCTACTTATTACTTCCTTTGTTCCTAATCCTTGTAACCCAAAACATAATTTATATTCAAGGGCACAATAGTATGCACCTCTCCTTATTTAGAATATTTTTTTCTCTAAATTCTATTTTCTGGGTGATAGCTGTCTTTTAAGATCACGAATATATATAAATGAAGATTTATAGTTTTTCTTGAATTATTTCAACATTAGTAATTCTGAGTTCTGTCAGAATTCTGAACATCTACAAAGTTGCAATTAGGTTAAGAAAATGGCGTCAGCTGTTGCAAAGGATCGGTGAAAAATGAGAAATAAAGTGGAAACATTGGAGAATCGATTAAAATTCACAGAATACAAACCGCACCGAATTGCGATTTTTTAAAACACAAACAAATAAATACTTGGAATAATAATTAATTACATTTATAGCTACTTATAACCTATAATAATAATATCCAACATATTTATCTATTTTTATTCATATTTGTTCCTATATTTACCAACTTTCAAGCTTGTACATTTACATTTAAGTAGCTGCATTACGAGGTTTCAGAATTTTCTAGCTCGTAGATTTACGTTCAACTAGTTCCATTACGAGGTTTCAGCACTTTCCTCGCCTCAGTGAGATGTAGTAGTTCACTGTAGTAGTCCACTGCTGCTGTACAGGTGTAGAGCTTGTATTTTAACGAGATACTTGCCGCAGCATGGAAATTCTTATCAGGATGAATCTCCAAGTCTACACGAGGCACTCCAACGAGGGTGTAGCAGATAATCCAGGCTTCACGCTATTTTGTTCCACCGTGTACACACCATCTTTCCACGTTCAATTTTCCTTTCACTTTTCGCACATCCGATGAAGCTTCTCTCGTACAAGGTGCTCGTAGACCTTGACTAAATGGGAAATAGAAGAACGAACAGGAGCAATTTGGAAGATGTACGGACCCGACCTGCTTTTTGGAAAATTTTATCCGGTTAGGGGCTTTCTGATAAATAACTTCGAGTTAACAGAGAGATGAAATAAAATTATTTATCTGAATGTTAGAAGCTTGCAGATTGATCGTTGCAATCTAAATAAAATATTGAAATAGATAATAATTTACAATTTGAAATTTGTAATTTGTAATTTTCAAAGTTTCTATGATATGTTACAAAATATACAAAAACATACAAAATATGTACAAGCAAATGTCTATGTGGAGATACCTTTTTTTTTAGTTTGTAAAAAATATGAATTTGCATAAAGGTTAAATTCATATTTTTGTGAACTAAAAAATGGCATCTCTATACACAAAGATTTGTGTATCATCTTCTAAATATTCAGATACTCTGCTTTCATATTTTTTTTGTATATTTTGCATATTAAATATATGTATACTGTATTTTCATAGATCTTCCATCAACGTTAAAGATTGTACAATTCTGATTTGGAAATATCTTCGAGTGAGATCCTGAGAGAAGACAAGAAGAAGAAGAAGAATGTAAACGCTGTATCCTTATTCTTCCCAAATTCCTCGTTCTCAGCTACAAAATGGCACTCTCCCCTTCTCAACACACTTTATGCCCATAATCCGCCTCACAGACACGATGATTGCAGCCATTGTCGGGTATAACAAGACCCGACGCAAATTCAGTAGCTTTCTCCGAAGCTATCCTGAACCATTTAACAGCTCGTGCCAACGAAAAAGCAAAGTGCAATTCACCGACAAAAGAGACCTTTTGTCTGCCGTGAAAAATGGTAAACTTGGGCGCAGCGGGACGACTATTCTTCGGCGATTTCCAAAATGTCTGGAAAGAAGACGTTCCGCAGTTAATAATATCTTAACTGCAGCTAATATATCATGGCAACCCATTTTCTCATAATTACAGACGTAGCATGTTCCAGTTAAAATTCATACACAGCATACATATTTCGCTTATCTTAGTCCCAGTGCGGATTTCGGGTCATTTTTGTCCTTACTTCAGAGTTGCGTTTGCCTCAGCAAAAATATCGAGCAAATTTCTACCAATATGCTTGTTTACTTTTTCCTGACATTGTATCAAAACCAACTGTCGCTGTTCGAATTGTAGGTTAGGAATACAAGTATACAGTTACGTGCAAAATTCTCAGCTCATTTTTGTCCATTGTTTGGTTAGTGATGAAAACCGATGATCAGAATGAGATATCGGTTGCGATTTGTGAATTCCTAAAAAAAACATAAATAATTAAAATACGTACGTGATTGCACTTAAGAAATGTTAATGGTCTTGAAAAATGGCTGAAAAGGTACCTCAAAGAGAATTTTCACTATTCCGATTAAATTTTGACGATTGTCCTAATGCAATTTCTCTCTCGCCGAAAGTAAGCGAAATATTGAATGAAACGTCCTGTACACAATGAGGTTATATTGAAGATTGGATATTGAAAATTATTAGGTTGTTCCAAGAGTTTCTTCCGTTTCATAAGGATACAATAGATGCACAACGTATTGTAGCAATAGAACAAAATATATCGTACATGACTCGATAAAATAATACAGAACAAGAATGTGCAACTATTATCTTCTCATATTGTAGAACGAAAGAAACTTTCCGGACAACCCTAACCTAACAGTATTCGACTTCCACGTCATAACAAGAAACTATAATCAATTGGAATAACTTGGAAACTATATGCAAACGCGTACAAGTGTTTCTTTACTCGTTTGCAAAGGTGTCTTCCTCTCACGAACATGTCTTTTACAACACCTTTATAGAAACGTGAAACCTAAACTGTCAAACGTTTATGTCTATTAATGTTATGTCTATTAATACAAGAAAATGCATCACACGTAATTTCCTTGTGGAACGAAAGGAACTTTTCGGACAACCTAATACTCTTCTTCACGTTGCTTCCAAGAAGTTAATTACGAGCAGGTATCACGATAACCAGTTGATTTTGATTTCGCCTGAAATGAATCCAGATAAATCTGATTGCGTTCGTGTGGCGCGTAGGCTGTGCTTAATTTCATCTAGGAGAATTATCGCCACCTGGAAACGCGGTCTCGATGGTCCTTGTCCATTCAAGCAGAGGTCCTCGACAATGGCACATTGTGAGGCTGGCGAGTCGCCACCGTACTCGTATGTAAATGAGAAAAGAATTAAATATATATCTACCGAACGATAACTTTGTTTGAATTAGCATTGCTTGCCTTTATAAGTGTCGCGCCGCATCCAAGATACGCCAGCAACTGCACGAGTATGTATATGGGTTCGCATGTTCGTTGCGGGTGAGTTTGATGGTGGTCTCGACACGCGATACCCGCGAGAAGTTTTGCCAATCGTTTCTTCGTCCTTGTCCTTCCATTCCACGATATTTTTCTCCTGCCAGTTATTTTGTAACAACGATCGAACGTGCGTAACGTTAGGCGCGTGGCTGCACAGTGATTCGACGCAGAATTTTGGGACGGCGTTGACGAATCAACTGAAAAATGTTGTTAGTGTTGAGGTTAACTGACAGAGCAACGAGTGGATGAATTTGCAAGAGAAAAATATATTGAAATAAGTATAGGTATAGTGCATGCTGGCCCAGATCCTCATTCTTACAGTGTTACAATACAGTAGAAGGTAATATGTCATGTATTTATAGCAAAGGACTTTCCTGTTGAGGTTAACTGATAGAGCAACGAGTGGATGAATTTGTAAGAGCAAAATATATTGAAATAAGTACAGGTATAGTTTATGCTGATCCAGATCCTCATTTTTTTGTGTTACAATACAGTAGAAGATAATAGGTCATATATTTATAGCAAAGAAGCTTCCTGTTGAGGTTAACTGATAGAGCAACGAGTGGATGAATTTGTAAGAGCAAAATATATTGAAATAAGTACAGGTATAGTTTATGCTGATCCAGATCCTCATTTTTTTGTGTTACAATACAGTAGAAGATAATAGGTCATATATTTATAGCAAAGGAGCTTCCTGTTGAGGTTAACTGATAGAGCAACGAGTGGATGAATTTGTAAGAGCAAAATATATTGAAATAAGTACAGGTATAGTTTATGCTGATCCAGATCCTCATTTTTTTGTGTTACAATACAGTAGAAGATAATAGGTCATATATTTATAGCAAAGGAGCTTCCTGTTGAGGTTAACTGATAGAGCAACGAGTGGATGAATTTGTAAGAGCAAAATATATTGAAATAAGTACAGGTATAGTTTATGCTGATCCAGATCCTCATTTTTTTGTGTTACAATACAGTAGAAGATAATAGGTCATATATTTATAGCAAAGAAGCTTCCTGTTGAGGTTAACTGATAGAGCAACGAGTGGATAAATTTGTAAGAGCAAAATATATTGAAATAAGTATAGGTATAAGTACAGGTATAGTTTATGCTGATCCAGATCCTCATTTTTTTGTGTTACAATACAGTAGAAGGTAATAGGTCATATATTTATAGCAAAGAAGCTTCCTGTTGAGGTTAATTGATAGAGCAACGAATGGATGAATTTGTAACAGAAAAATACACTGATATAAGTATAGGTACAAGTACAGGCATAGTTTATACTGATCCAGATCCTCATTTTTTTAGTATTACAATACAGTAGAAGATAATAGGTCATATATTTATAGCAAAGGAGCTTCCTGTTGAGGTTAACTGATAGAGCAACGAGTGGATGAATTTGTAAGAGCAAAATACATTGAAATAAGTATAGGTATAGTGTATGCTCATCCAAATCCTCACTCTTACAGTGTTACAGTACAATAGGAAGTTGATAGGGAGCATGTTCATATATTTGTAGCAAAGGACATTAGCAAAAAGCTAACCTTGATGTGTAGCTCTAGCTGAAGGCTACAAGAAACAGCAATAGAAATCTACTTATAGCTCTTTCGTTCCTAGAGCCTGTAACCCAAAAACAAAATTTATATTCAAGGACACAGTTATATGGACCCCTCACTATTTTGAATTTCTTCTTTCTTTTTTTATTTCTTTCGACCAGGTCACGGATACACGAAAGAAAAGTTGTAGAGCTTTTCCTCAAGTAATTACTTCATTAGCATACTGCGACAAGTATTGGGTCCTTCGGGGTTTTTGAAGAGGCAAAATCTTTCAACTGGTGGAGATTTCCGAGTAAAAGAGGGTCGACAGAGGAAAATTCCACGTACAGAAGCTTCGTACAAGGACGTTCAGCTTTTCAGGCAGATAGTTTTTTAAGCTTCTTTTTGCAGCTTGTTTTGCTCAACGTACGTAAACGCCAAAGTTAAAGAGGCGGCGGACCATGGCAATTATGCGTTCGACCAACGAAAAACGATTAGCTCGCACGGATGTGCAGGTGGTCGGTGGACGAAGTAGCAGCAATTCTCCGAAGCGAAATAGAAATATTCCAGCGTTTCAATTTAAAGGTGCAAAAATACAAAGAATACGTACAAGTTGAAAAATTCATATTTATCAAAATGTAGATGATTTTTACCATCTTCCTCCATTGTAGCTAGACAACAGATGTTGCAAGAGACACGCGATACATCCATAAAGCGCAGCTCCAAGTGGCATAAAAATAACATAGCGCGGGGATTCGCGGTTTCAGCCGCGTCGAATTTCTCAAGCAGAAGCGCCATTACCAGCGGCCCCCATAAAATAAGCTGCGGGATCGCGGCTCCGTACGACCAAACCTCGTGGCAGCTCTAACCGAACAACCAGTTTAACCCAAGAGAAGGCAGACTCGCATTGTCTCCGTGCTCTCGTTCCGGCCGTTTTCCATCGTCCACGCACGGCTTTTGTCGACAGATCTGCGTAGGGGTGGAACGCGTAAAAATACGACGAACAGGGGGAGGGGGCAGGCATTGTTCCAAAAGTTAGCCTCGCCGCGTGCAGCATGCACGAAATCCGCAAAGTCAGTAAATTTTCGTGAGCACTACCTGTTCAACCAGCGTGTATCCCCTTGTATACTCTGTTTGCGTAGGATGCAGACCACCCAGGTCGTCTGACGCCTCTGCCTTATCCTCAACGGAATTGACTTAGCGGAATCCGGGGCGAGGGACGTAAGGACAGGGGACAACGAAAATGGAAAGAAAGAGAGGAGAAGGAGAGGGATAGGAAAGAGAGAGGGTCGGCTCGTATGTAAGCAACGAAGCCTTTAACCCGACCTGGTCCAGCACTTTATTTTTCATCTCATTGTCCGTCGACAGGATCACGACTCCCCACGTTGGCCATTGCAAAGCGAATGTGGGGCGCCTGCTCGCTTTGCCATTCGCTACGTTTTGCTGGCTTCTTGAAAAACTACCTCGGCATCTATTTACCGTCGGATGATAACCGGCACGGTCCTTGGGAATAAAGGAATTCGAGTGAGAGATAAGCAGCGGACAAGCACGAGACCCGATGTCTTAGTTTTGGGAACTCGAGAAGCGACGAGTGTACGTTGCAACAGGTTAAACCTAACCTTGCTGATATTATCGATTTGTCGATTTTTTAGGAATTTGTATAAAGTTAGATTTTAGAAGGAAAGAGGCGACGATGAGTGTGCAATTTTGAGTGAAATTTGCTAACTGGTCGTTTGCTTGCTACCTGATCTGGTAGGTTAGTTCGATGGTTGTTAACAATGTTGAGATGTTCTGGGTTTTAGAATTTTTTTGTGATTTTAGTTGGATATTTTAAATGACTGTCGTAGTCGCGAGAAAGGTAATTGACGAAAGGTAATTTAAAATAATGAAAATTTCTGCGTTTTGAGTTTAGGTTCCTTGCGGAGGACAAGATCCGTAGGTAGAAAAATTAAAAATTCATAGCAATCTCCACTTGTAAGTAACTGCTAATAGCGTTAAATTGTGCGAATAGTGTTCACCGGGTAAAACAATGTAAGTGGCATCAAGCGTTGCACATGTTGCAACACATGGACATTAAACATCGTCAATTTCAGAGTAACTCTTACTCGCTACATGAGAAAATATACTTTCGTAACAAAAGTAAAAAGAACACTTTGAACAAACATATTTCTTGTTTTTCAGACAGGTTCACAGGGTATATGTGCTTCAACACACGCACACTAAATATCAGCAATTTCATAACTGACGACATGAGAAAATATGCGTCTGTAACAAAAGTAAACAGAACATTTTCAATATTATATTTATTTAAATTGCTTGCAAATTTAAATCAATTTTTTTCATTCAACTTTCCCTGCGACTAAGAGGTGGCACACGCAATTCTATAAATTCCACATTCTGCAAATACAACTCTTTCTGTGAAATATACAATTTTCTCGTCCTTCAAAATGATTTCAAACCAGAGAAGGTTCTTCTCAATCCTACGAAATTTAACGTTTGACACAGCGTGTTGGCAACAAGTCTTCGATTCTGGTTGCTGAGGTTAACTGATAGAGCAACAAGTGGATGAATTTATAACAGAAAAATACATTGAAATAAGTATAGTGTTACAACTTTTAGTGTTACAACACAATAGAAGGTAATAGGTTATATTTTTATAGCAAAGGAGTTTCCTGTTGAGGTTAACTGATAGAGCAACGAGTGGATGAATTTGTAAGAGCAAAATATATTGAAATAAATATAGGTATAGTGTATGCTGGTCCACATCCTCATTCTTACAGTGTTACAACACAATAGAAGATAATAGGTCATATTTTTATAGCAAAGGAGTTTCCTGTTGAGGTTAACTGATAGAGCAACGAGTGGATGAATTTGTAAGAGCAAAATATATTGAAATAAGTATAAGTATAGGTATAGTATATGCTGATCCAGATCTCTCACTCTTTTAGTGTTACAATACAATAGAAGGTAATAGGTCATATTTTTATAGCAAAGGACTTTCCTGTTGAGGTTAACTGATAGAGCAACGAGTGGATGAATTTGTAAGAGCAAAATATATTGAAATAAGTATAAGTATAGGTATAGTATATGCTGATCCAGATCTCTCACTCTTTTAGTGTTACAATACAATAGAAGGTAATAGGTCATATTTTTATAGCAAAGGACTTTCCTGTTGAGGTTAACTGATAGAGCAACGAGTGGATGAATTTGTAAGAGCAAAATATATTGAAATAAATATAGGTATAGTGTATGCTGGTCCACATCCTCATTCTTACAGTGTTACAACACAATAGAAGATAATAGGTCATATTTTTATAGCAAAGGACTTTCCTGTTGAGGTTGGCATTACCAAAAAACTAACCTTGGTGTGTAGCTCTAGCTGAAGGTTACAAGAAACAGCGATAGAAATCTACTTATATCTCTTTTGTTCCTAGAGCTTGTAACCCAAAAACAAAATTTATATTCAAGTGCACAGTAATATGGTCCTCTCGTTATTTTGAATTTTCTTCACTAAATTCTATTCTCTTCGCAACAGCGGTCTCCAGGTCATGGATATACAAAAGTTATTCTTGAAGTAATTACTTCAACATTTCCTATGGATTAGAATGTAGTTTGAGTAATTAGAATATATTTTTTACTTATCATGGTGCGTCTTCATACGTTCAACTATCAACTCGAATATTCTTTTCTTCTGTCTTCCTAACTCCAATAAAGAATTTAACAATCCAAAATGTTCTTCCCTTTTCATACATTAAAACATTGCTCAGGCTCACGATTCGTGCTCGTTAAGCTTCAGCATCCTCAACTTCTCACACTTGTCTTCTTTTTCTTCAATATAATAACAATTTCGTATAATATTTTTACACACCACCTTACATCCTGCATATATTTTCATCCATCTCATAAATTTCAGTTTACTTATTTTTAATTATTTGGTTGGCAACTAAGTGATTGCGGATTTTGTCAATACCACCTAACGACAAAATCCGCAATAACTTAGTTGCCAACGCAATCAGCTGTGGTTAACCGAAGCCGCCATTTTCCAAGCGAAAACGCACTCGAACCTCGAAACCCTTCTGCCCAGACGAAAGCCAACCAACCACCCTCGGCTTTATCGCTGTCGAGTCAAGTTTCTCCTTTTTCCATTTATATTTACACGTATTCAATGTGGTCTGTGTTGCAGCGATTTACATGGTCGTTAAAAAACGCTTACATCGTCGTGAGGCTGTTGGACGAGGCACGAGTCGAACACAAAGATCGAAAGGCAGTGAAAAAGAGAGGAAGAAGAATCCCAAGGAAGGAGAGCTAATACGCCATAAGAAAAAGAGACAGGAAAAGTGGGGAAAGAGAGGAATCACGGCGCGAAATTTCTACTTTGCGGCTGGTGTACGTGTTACACAGCAGAAGAAGATGAAAATGACCAAGGAGAAAGCATCTTATCTGTCTCGTGCATAAATACAGCAACATTGTCGTTGTAAAGTGGACACGGAATATACTTGTTACGTTGCTGGTCCGCGGGCCACCGGCTGCACTCTCACCGCTTCGGTGCTAAGTAAAATGATATATTGCGGTTAAACGCGGCCCCGCGGATTCGTGTGCGTGCCTGTATCACCGGCCATATATACGTACACACGTTACACGTGGCCGTGTTTAATATCGAAACGGTGTTGGTGAGTGGGCCACCCACGGTGGCCTTGCTGGACCACCCAACGAGCCGCGCTATTATAAGGGGCCGTCTCTACTTCGCACTTTACCTCGATCCGATACTTCGTTGCTCCCCTTTAACCCCTTCAACGGCTCTGACACATTACTCGAGAGCCGGGCGAATCGAACCGGGACAACGATTTCTTTTTCCCTCTCTTTCTCTTTTTTCTCTATCGTCTTCTTCGTTTTTTCCACGGTGCCGCTTGTTATCCATTAATCAGCCGGCTCTTTCGTGAGATTAGGGGGATACGTTGTATCGCTTGTTCGCTCTCTTCGAGTCCTTCAGCGCTGAATAGCGTACGATCTCGTAGACGAACCAATGTAATACGATCTTAGCTGACGTTTCGTCGGACGAAGAGAGGAACGATAGGCAGGTGTGAGAAACGTTGACGATCGATCGGCTACACCAACGTAATTATCCGACGGTGATTAATAAACGTTGCGTTACTATCGCCTATTCGCTACGACCATCCACACTTTCTTTCGTTCGGCGCTGGCACGTGCAACACACGGCCTTGACGGCTCCATGTCTATACGGGGTGTTCGAAAGATTCAATTTGCAGAGTTTAGAGAAAGTGAGGGGAGG